ATCCTTTGTGGGCAAAAGTGGGGGGGGGGGGGGGGGTTTAAAAAGAGGGAGTATAGAGTCAACAGCTGCCAATATAAACAAAAAAGGTTTTATATTCTAATTTTCTTATTTTAATCAATCAGCTACTTATGTGCAAATTCTTTTGTAAGAAATATAAGAATGTAAGTAGTGATTTATTACCCTGTCATACCATGATGACATATGTTACGATAAACTGTCACTCTTGGTTGCAACGAAAGCTACATGCAACACAATAAATTAATACTATGAGCCAATACCTCCAACTGTTTGAGCATTAATGTTACTGATAGCTAATCCTGTCTTGTTGGGATATCTCACAAACTCTATGCAGAGAAGCCTGGCTTTCAGGTGTGTCTAAAATATCTGACTGCAAGTGTAGCTGTCCAAGTCAACGCTGCCTAAACAAAAATATCTAAGAAGCTCTCATAGGCTGTGTCTGAATTCAAGGGCTGTATCCTTCCAAGGCTGCATTCAAAGACCGGATGCGTCACAGCGGTGCGATAAGCCTGTCCTATTTTAAATATTAATTCAAATGGAATCTAGAAATGTGTCCTTTTTTTGCTGAGTTATGAAGTATCCACCCGATGGATCCTTCACCCAGCCTAACAAATCCCAAGATTCATAGCATTATTACGGTTTGGTGACTCATGAGCCACGGCCTTCTGGGTACTCTCCCCCCCCACACTGGCTATATCCACTCATCTAAGACTCGCCGCCCATTAGTGAGTTTCCTTCCCCTGCATGCCGTACCTGTGCGACCTTGACCCTTGGTATTCACACTCCGATGCCTCCAGGCAGGAAGTTACAGGTTCTTTGCTTCTTTTCATCTCAACCTAACAAATCTCAAGATTCATAGCACAGAGGTAAACTGGGTGTGTCCCGACTAGGCCATGAGAGCCTACTACTCAAGAGTAAGGGCAGGAACAGCTGGTGACACAAACAGGGAATTGTCCATAGACCAAAACATCCCATTTGACAGCGCTTTCTGTTTGATCTTCAAAGAATGAAGCCCACAAAAGGTACACCTTCGTAGACCGCATGCTTCAAACGATGAAGCCCTTGAAATCAGACACAGCCAGAGACTCCCAGTGAAGCACTGTGTCCGAGCAGGCTCCAAAAACACCAATAAGCTTTTGTCTTTTCTCCATTCAGTCAAAGCGTACGTGAGTCTTCCATAGACTCCCAGTGAAGCACGGTGTCAAATAGGCATCGATAGGCCATATTTATCCTGGTTTCAAAGAGAAAATCGAAATGCATCTTGTCAAAAGCAACTCCTTTGAAACGATCAGCGCTGTGGTTCAATTAGTATGATAGATTACAGTTTTAATAGCAAATAAAATGAATTTACATTGATACATTGACTAATTCAAGTTCTTTTTGCAATTTTATGGGGGAAGCCATGTTTCCCGTGTAGCCATTGAGCAATCGCTGGAGCCTGAGGGACTCCGTACGCCACTCGCTGCCGCTACTCTTACAGTTTTCAAAATGTTCTTTAGGTTTTTTCCCTGTTTTCCATTCGTATTGTGGCTACTTGGTGATTTCCGCTGCTGGGTGGAGTCCTTGGCTGCTGATGTTGAAAGCAGCACAGCTGTGGCTCTCGAATATGCTGGGGCGGGGGGGCACCGCCCCATCCCCCGTCGCTTTGCTGCGAGGAACCTCGTCCCACCATTTAATCTGCCACCAGCTGCCTGCCAACTGCGAGCGGATCTGCCACGGTGCGCTGGATACCTTTATCTAATCTCGCCGAGTACAGTGATAATCACAGGGCGAGAATCCCTTTATTTACGGTCTGCCGGCTTTGTGAGAAATCCACACTTCGAAAGTGCCATCATTCGGTCATTAGGAGAGAGAAGGGGTTTAGTCATAGGGTGGGGGGGGGATTTGAGTGGAGACAGGGATGATAGACAGGAATGTAATCCCAGCAGACTGGAGAAGCAGGCAGTATCCCACATGGGTGGCCTGGTGTTATTCTCAAAGTGAACACTAGGGGGACAAGATGCCTGTTACGTTACAATACATAACTACTTTATTAGTGGGCTCTATCTCTCATTTTGCCTCAGGTACCCTGGCGGCTGAAAAGTAATGTCATTATTATATTTTGTCTTTTAATAATAACATCACTGATGCTGGCAATTTGAGCGTGAGGGTGTGATCTTGAAGTCAAGAAGACAAGGCTCGATATGCCTCTGAGTCACTAATTAACCTTCAACTGTGAGGGTTATTCCGGTTATTACGGTTTGGTGACTCATGAGCCACGGCCTTCTGGGTACTCTCCCCCCCCACACTGGCTATATCCACTCATCTAAGACTCGCCGCCCATTAGTGAGTTTCCTTCCCCTGCATGCCGTACCTGTGCGACCTTGACCCTTGGTATTCACACTCTTGTTTGTGAGGGAGGTCTCCTATTTTTTGAACTCGCTTACTGCTGAGGCAGCATTACAGCCTCACAGAGTCACTGCATATCTCTTCTACTGGCTTGATGTTCCTCAGGGCGGCAGCTTCCCTCCGCAGACCCACCTCTCACCCTCCTCCCTGCGCTCTAATCTTCAGCCCAGAATGATACAGATCCCAGCTCCCTAGTGACTAGGGCCCCTTATTCTCAGCTCCGATGCCTCCAGGCAGGAAGTTACAGATTCTTTGCTTCTTTTTATCTCATAAACCAGACTGACAAGCTGGGACACACAGACTGCAGCGTCAAGGCTCCTCTTTCTAAATGTTGCCGCTGTCTGATTGCTCAGCTGCACCAGCCGGATCAGTGGGTTAAGACTCCCAGTCAGTCATTGGACGGGCACTGGTCTGAATTCTGACACAGGGCGTCCCAAGGTCTCACATGTACAGCTCTGGAAAAAACTGAGACTGCTCGATATTTTTATCCATATCTGCCTTTTTTAATCCTGGTTTAATCCTGGATCTGCTGGCAGAAGGCTACACTGCAAGGCAGGTTGCTTCCAGGTTCAAAGTTTCTAAGACAGCAGAACACAAAAACAAGGTGAAGCAGGAGACAGTGGCAATAGCCAAAAACCAACCAGGTAAAGGGCAGAAGCAACTTTCAAATGTTAGAGATGACCATCAACTCATAAATTGGAGGATGATCTCAAGTGACCTTAAAAAAGAATAGGAAACATTAAGTGCATGTGTGAAGTGCACTGCTAGGACAATTCGTAACAGGTTCCAAAAAGCAGGACTGAAGACAAATAAAGCGAAGAAGCAGCCCTTCATCAATGAGAAGCAGGGAAGAGGAAGGCTAGAGTTAGCAAAAAAAATGTATATTTTACACAGGTGCACACCCTTAAACTGAGAAATGAGTGAAACGGAAAATTTTGCTGTGGTATCTTAATTTGTTCCAGAGCTGTATGTGTGTCTGTGTGTCTCATGGAGAGTAAGATAGGACGAGTGCAACGACAGTTTCCCCACAGAGATGAATAAAGTACCACACTTGTATTCTACATCTGCCCCCTGCAGAACAGTCACTTCCATCACAGCTAAAGCCGGAGGGTTTAAAATGCTGCGACGTGGTGACACCCTTATTCAACAGTTTAAGGGATTCAGGAACAGGATAGTCTGGCTTTTTTGCCGTTTAGTAATGGCAGTTAGAATCAGTTTTCATCTGTGGCGCATTAACATCAAATCCTTTGCTGAAATGTCTGATCTGTGTGCGTCTGCCTTCCGGCACAAACACAAACTAAAACAGTTCAATGTACAGGTTACGTTACGTCGCTGACCAGGGGGTGTCGTTAGAGATTTTGGGCCCCATGAAAGCCTATTATATGTTCCAAATTTGTTAAGACCCCTGTCGCTCAGGGGCCCTTGGAATAGTCCTAACTGTCCCCTCCTTTATGACTCCCCAGTCGGTGACATTAAATAAGCAGAAGTGCAAAGTAGCTGAAATTACTGGGAGCAGGTATTGTATAAGGGCCAGAGAGACTCAGAGTCAAAGTATTTTATTAAATACCTCTATGCCTCCATGCCCCTATTGAAGAAAAAGCTTGCATGATCTGTGAGTGTATAAGTCATTCTCTATATGACGCAAATACACTGACCACCAAAATGTGGTTTCTTGGTTTAAAGGAGTGTTTTAAGATGACGTGAGGGGGATATACTGTAGGGCTTTCGAAGGAACAAACAGGCACACTTAGGTTCACTACCAAAAACGCTTTATTACAAGTAATACAAAATAACCTTGCATTAAAATCAATACCAAAATATTGGATCAAGGGCAATGCAAAATAATTCCATATCACAGGTGATATCCAATGGTATTATAACAATAATAAAACTGACAATACAAGTGATTATAGGTATGTATAAAAAAGTGACAATTGAAATATGAATATATAGAGAGTGCAACTTGATATTTTGGTTATTGCGATAATTGATTGAATCAAAAAATTATCACTGCAAAGCTATTCACACTTGGACGTGCCATCATCACCCACCCTCACTCTTAGACTGGGGAGCTCGTTTCAGTCCTGGCAGGAGACCAACACGTGAGTCTCGAGAAAGGGGGCGATACGCGCTCTATCCCACGGCTGAGCTTCAACCAACACTGAGTTCTCCCCCTTCTTTTATACTAAATTTAGGCACCGCGTGCGGGCAGGGGACGAGCTGGCCAGGCTCACCCCTCCCCTCAGGCAATGTGTTGTCTAATTTCCAGTTTTGTCCGGGTAAGCAGTTTGCAGTTTCAATCAGAAGTGATGAGACAAGTTTCTATAATCAAAGCGTCCCCCCTCCTGCTGAGGATGGGGTGAGTGTCCTACACACACTGACCACTAGGTGCGGTTTTAATCAAAGATAGTTAGACAGGTATCCTTGGGCAATGCTTTCCCCTCCTCCTGTGGATGGGGTGAGTGTCCTACACACACTGACCACTAGGTGCGGTTTTAATCAAAGATAGTTAGACAGGTATCCTTGGGCAATGCTTTCCCCTCTTTCTGGAATGAGCAGTGCTTTCTCTTCTCTTCTGAAGACTCTTCAAAAGAGAGGACAAGGCAGGTGTCTCATATACCGACCAGTGGTGTGCAAAACATACTGGGTGACGCCCTCCGAAACCCAGGGACACCTGATAAGCGTCCTTGGATACAGGAAGCATCCCAAAACAAGGATTCTTTCGCATAAGATAAGGATACTCTGAAACCAGTAATTTGTGAAAAACAAGTTATACAAGTGACCAGAAAGAAAAAAGGGGGAAAAAACCATGCTATGCTGTTTTATCCTTAATACAATGATATTATAGGTGAATCATGGATGACGTATTTGAATCTCAGGATGATTAGTCCACACATGATCAGAATTAATCCACACTTCAATCACCTCATATGTATGTATGTCTACTAGGTGGATTTGGAGGGACTCCAGCAAACTGTGAATAATGGTGTCGAACAATTACAACTTCCCAAATCATTACAGTAACAGGAGGACACTCAACACATCGTTTCATTTCTATACTACGTAGGCGGCGTGGCCAGTAACGGGGCCACCTGTACGTTTGTTTTAATACAAGGAGTGTCTAATGAAGTAAAGCTGAGGTACACGTTGTCGTCAACACTGACCCAAGACCACAAGGCCACAAAGTAACTGAGGACCAGTTTAAGTTAATATAAAGCCTTTCTTTAAAAAGAAATTGCCAGGTGCAATGACCATACTAGCAAATTAGTAGATAAAATGGGGGAGGTTGGAGACAGTAGCTGAACGAGGTCAGTGATTCGAAGGGCTGCAGTAACGATCCTGCATAATTTAGATTCACCCATACAGCACTGATGCTCAGAAAACTGGTACAAATTCACTTTGTAAGAAAAAAATTTAGCTTTTTCCTCTGTGTCATTTTCTAAAAATGAAAATAAATTTGACAATTTGCAAGTGATAACATTTGGGGAGCAGGTTGGGGGCAGCAAACATGTGACTCTTGTGGGCTTCCTGTTGGGGAAGCCTGCGGGGGGGCAGCATGCCCTGCAGAACCTGGGAGAAGGTTGTGAGGGATTCCACTCTCTCCCAACCTCCATACCCTTGGTGTCTCATCATGCTGGAGTGGTGGACATGACCCAGCACTGGCTGATCCTCCTTACCTCTCATCATTTGCCCAGCCGGTTTGAGGTCTGCTGTAGCATATCCACCAAACATTAGCAAGCGAGCGTGAAAATGTTTTCACCATGCTGGGTTCCAAGGTGAACAAAATGGGAACCCTTCTAAATTCATCTTTTTTGCGTTGTTTGTTTGTATTTCCCAACTGGTTACTTGAAGGCCCAAATACTTTTTTACTGCCAACGTCTTATTTTTCCCCTCCTCAGTTCCTGCTCTTGACCATCATGCGTCTCTCTTCCAGGTACAAGGGCTTCATCAAGGACTGCCCCAGTGGCCAGCTGGATGCCGCCGGCTTTCAGAAGATCTACAAGCAGTTTTTCCCATTTGGAGATCCCACCAAGTTTGCCACCTTCGTATTTAACGTTTTTGACGAGAACAAGGTAACAAGAATCCAGGGTGAACATCTATTTGGTGGGTGGAGGTATGTGTGGGGAAATTCCACACCAGCCCTGACACGCCTATGAGCTAGTGTGTGTGTGTGGGGGGGGGGGCATTCAGGTGTCAAATTATACAGATGGGCCCTTGGGTACATCTACAAGGATGTGGATTGTGGGATCAGGAGGGGGGAGAGTCGAGGGTAATACAGCTCTGCAAATTAAAAGCCAACATACTTTTTCAACTCGCTTGTGTGTGCAGGATTGGCTCTCCACTGGAAATAAAAACCTTACACTGTTCTAGTCCATTCAAACTAGCGTGGTGCTGAGGTATCACCCACCACATGGCTGCACTTGGGTTCTTATCCCTGAGGTGCTTCGTCGTCTGGTGGCTGCGGCAATGCGCTGTATCAGCGTGTGCTCCTTACCTCTCGCTTGTATGTCTTCATCGCACGTGTTTCACTGCTTTCATTGACTCTGATATAAGCCTATATCTCGATGCACCAGCTGGAGGTCGTCTTAATTACCTCGAGTCTGATACCTGAGGCAGTGAAATGACAGAAACATGGTGCAAGATCTGCCATTATACTCCTTACTCATTGCTGATTGGGTCGCTCGCTAGCATGACCTGCCCCAGATGCCTGTTCACAGGCGTAATGGTGGGCCATCCTGGGCCGCACTGGGACTCGCTATGGAGTGATCACACTAGTCAAACGAACTGGACGTTGCATGACCAATTTAAGGAAGTCTGATAGCTCTGTGTGCCAGTCTCTGAGTAATCTGTGGCTGCAGGCCCCACCACTCTCAATCTCAGGCCCTGCCACTCTCACTCCCAGGCCCTGCCACTCTCACTCCCAGGCCCTGCCACTCTCACTCTAAGGCCCTGCCACTCTCACTCCCAGGCCCTGCCACTCTCACTCCCAGGCCCCGCCACTCTCCAGAATGCTTTAGATTTTAAAAGTGATCAATAAATATCTAGCAGCAATTTAACAATTTGATAGCTGCTGATATCAATAAAAATGCTATTTACAATTTTGCTGTGTGTATTCTTACTCATAAACAGTAACTTTAAACAGTAAAAAAGGAAAAATCATAGCCCCTCTGTCTGTCTTTCGGAAGAGAGGATACTGACTCACTATCCCCCTATCACCCTTCCCAGGATGGACGGATCGAGTTTTCGGAGTTCATCCAGGCACTATCCATCACTTCACGGGGCACCCTGGACGAGAAACTACGATGTAAGACAGAGAAATGTAGGAAAACTCTGGTGCCTTGTCCCAAACGGGACTCTCACTTACTATCCAAGGAGCAGGCTGACCATTTTATTGCCTTGATTGGTCTCATATGGAGAGGATTGCAGTTCAATCACATAACATATAATTTATAAAATATAGAAAATACGTAAAAAATATTGAAATAAGCATATCTCACTAATAAGACAACCTTTAAAAAAATAATTACCATGAAAGACAGGGTCCTGCTCATACATGCAGAAACCAAAATTAATTAAAGCCTTTAAATGTAAAAGGTAGCAGTACAAAAATCTATCCATAGTACAGGGGCAACTGGAGTCTGTCCCAGTTAACAAAGTTCTCAAGTCAGATGTACACTATAGACTAGTGATCTCAATCCGGTCCTCGGGGATACACACTGTCAGTCCATGTTTTTGCTCCCTCCCAGCTCCCTACCAGACAATCCACATTTTTCCTTCCCACTGGGAGCTGGGAGGGAGTGAACAACTATGGGTCCCCAAGGACCAGATTGGGAAACACTGCAAAAGACAATCCAGAGACACCGATCCAGGTAGGAGTGCAGAGAGGAACCTGACACATACACAGCAGAAGTGGGGGTTTGATCCCCGGAGACGAGTCACCATGCTGCTTGCCAGGGCCGTGCAGAGATGTTTAAAGGGGCGGGTGCTCAAAGTTAAAAAAGATAGAACAGGCTGAATAACAACAATTCACATTCATGACGAATCTAATATGGAATTATGTGGATATCCATATTAGATCGTTTTTAGTGAAATAAAAGCCCTCCAGAAAAGAAGGGAAAAGTCCTGCAACTTACTTTAAAACAAAACATGTTCCCTAAAACGGTGGACAGAGCTACAGACCCCCTTGTAACACCCTTACCCAGTTAGCTAGCAGTTAATGACCACCACTACTTGTGCAGTTCATAAAAGGACAGGTAATGTTTGTCGCGCTGTTGCACAAACAGCACGCTCATTTATTTCAATTCATTTGTTGTTATAGACTATAGTGTGCGCTGTACACCCTATTTACTGTTTTGTTGCAGTCTGCACCTTCCAATAAATTTGCCTGCTTCTCCTCCAGCTCCGCACCACCCAGCCTGCAGAAAATGCGCGTACACTTTGCGAGCTCGTACCCGGCTCGTAACGAGCGCGCTCTGCCCTCAAGGGCGAGCATTGGTTAATGGCAGTCATGTGACTGATGCAAGCCAGATCCTTTTATTTAGCAAAATTGAGATTAATAGTTACATTTTATTGTTGAGGGGCAAAGACAGGGCTCCATACGCACATACACATTAAAAAAAAAAAAAACAAAAAAAAAAAAACACATGCCTGCTGCTTGCCCATACACACATCTTGAAAGTAAATTGTGGTGTAAATTGTGCTCTGAATTATGGCTCCCTAAACATAATTAGAGGCTCTGATCTGGTATCCCTACCACAATTTGGGGGGGGGGGAGACTGGGGATGCCTTCTTCCACAGAAAAAGACATTTTTGACTCAGAAAGAGACATGTGTCATTGTCATCCTAGTGACATGTCAACTCTGTGACTTCTACGCCTCTCTGTGTTGCTGCTGGGAGACTTTTGTTCTGAAAGCGCTTCATTCTGTTTTGCAGTGATTTAATATATTGTGAGTCATGCAATCATACATTGTTGTGTATTGTGATGTCATAGTACATTGTTATGTATATTGTGATATCACAGTATATTGTTAAGTATTGTGATATCATAGTACATTGTTATGTATTGCATTAGGATGTGATACGTTCTGGTCCCTCTTTCTTTGGTCACCATCACAGGGGCTTTCAAACTCTACGACCTTGACAATGATGGCTACATAACACGAGATGAGATGTTGAACATAGTGGACGCCATTTACCAGATGGTGGTAAGTTACTTTCGGCTGCTGGGACCAGGTTTGCTGTGTGTGGCAGGCTATGAAAAGATGTCTGTGTGTGCTTGTGCGTGTTTGTTTCCAGGGTAACACTGTGGAGCTGCCGGAGGAGGAGAACACACCAGAGAAACGCGTGGACCGCATCTTCGCCATGATGGACAAAGTAGGGCACATGTGTGACAGAGACTCACACGTCCGTCCACTTATTTGTTTGTTTATGGGGACTTTCCATTCATTTCAATGGGCATGGACCCTAATCCCATCATGACGACCTTAACCCCTACCCAGCCAAAACCTTAACCATAAGTAGTCAAACTAAATACGAGACTTCTGCCTTTTCTAATTTTTTGGTTGCCTTCACAGATCTTTGTGGTGACCTGAAAAATGGTCCCCACAATGAAAATAAGTTTTTTTTTTTACATTGTGTGGTACATTTGGTCCCCACAATGTAATATAAACATAATCCCCCCCTACACACACACACACAGGTAAAGTGTAGGTCTGTTTCTCTTTTCTCCCAGAATGCAGACGGTATGTTGACACTGCAGGAGTTTCAGGAAGGTTCTAAGGGCGACGCCTCCATCGTTCAGGCCCTGTCGCTGTACGACGGCCTGGTCTAAGAGTCCAGGCACCTGCGGTTAGTTGGCTTCTGTGTGGTTCCACCGGCAGTTCAGGTGGTTGGTGGGACACCAGTGAGGCATATTTCATGTAAAGTGGGGACTTATACCTTACCATTCAATAACTTCATGTGATGAACACGTGTTTAGATTATGATTTAGGTCCTGTCTGAGAGGGGTTAGGCATCATGAAGACATTGTCTAAATTAAAAGCTTAATTAACGGACAGCTTGCCTCCAAGGTTCAAGTCTAGTACATGATTCCCCACCAATGAGCAGAAAGGCCTGAGAAAACATGCTTCCCAATTCATTCAGGGGATATGTGTGGCTCCGCAGGCTAAGCCTCTGGGCCAGTGATCAGAAGGTCGCTGGTTTGAGCCTGGCCTCACTTGAATAGTCACATGTTTTTGGGACTTTGAGCAAGGCCCTTAACCCTCAACTCCATGAGAGCTCTTCACTGCCAAGCTGTCTCTCACTTACATATGTGTCAGGGAGAACAAGATGGATAGGCAAGGAGAGAATATCCTAACAGGGATCAATAAGGAAGTGTTATTATTTTACTCCACCATAATGTATTTCCTGTTGTTTCCTGTTTGTACTTTTTCTTCAACCTTTCCACAGGTCTCCAATACTGTCCCATCCAGTGCCATCATGCTAATGAAGAACCCACTGTCCTCCACCCTTCCCTGCTACAGAGGAGTAAGGTGGGGTGTATTTTGGGAACCGCCATGTTGAGCCTAAGCTGTCAAACACTCATCTTCATGTTCGCCAAAAAGTAATTTAAAAAAGAACAACATAAAATATGAATGCAGCATTTTTAAGAGATGGGACAGCTGCACTGTGATGTCCTGCGGACAAGTGGAACGGGAGAGAGAGAGAGAGAGAGAGAGAGAGAAAGACAACATGCCGCCCAGGGGCATGCTGGGAGCGCTGTCACCTGTTGTCATGGCAACTACCCAGCCAATTGAGAAGCAGACCGGAGCTGATGGTTTTCTCATGTTTCTTCATTCATGGAAGCTTGTTGACTTTCACGTTTCTAGCTGAAGATCAGTGTTGTTTTCAAACAGTCTTTTCCTTTTTTTATATGTGTTGATCACAGCTGCGTGGACTTCTAAGTCTGCAAGACCTCTTCCAGCTATACTATAAATTGCTTGCCTCTCATGAACAGTGGCAGTTCTGCTTGTCTGTCCGTCTTAGGTGATATGTAGCCTCTGTATCTTATTTTTCCTACATTATTTTTTCTTATGGTCCCACCAGCATAGTACCTCCTGCCAAGTATTGGGGGTGGGGGCTGGGGGGTTGAGGTCTCCATCCATTTAAAGGGGTCCAGGGAGTTGTATTACCTGGTTTCGATTATGCGCCCATGCCTCTGCTGTGATATAGCCCCACCCACCTCTGAATGCCCTGCACAGGGTACTTAGGTAGCCATTAAGGCTATCATCACTTTTCCTGTTTCCTGTTTTTCTGTTGTTCTGACAGCCAACCCTGAAATAAAAAGGATCATTCTAACAGAAGCCTGGGCAGGACCGCGGCTGCATAGACTAAGCTGGCAAAACAAACCTTTTGTTATGGAAAAACACGTCAGTCGTCTGGTAGTCTGGGGGATTCACTGGCGCAAAAATTCACTGTTTTGCTGTCCTTTCTAGACATTGGAGATTTTAGATCTGCTGACATAGATTTGTTGTTATAGAAACAGTGTCATGCCTATTTCTATGGAAAAAAAACTTAAAAGCCACAACACCTGATCTTTCACATAATTCATACAGATCACCGCACCTCCTCTTTTGTTAGTTTGTGTGTCAAGAGTCTTTTGATGAAATGCCAGTGCTGTGGGCAGGGGCGTCAGAAGCATTTTGAATGTGGGGGGGGGGGGCACACTGGCATAAAACTAATATTTTACGTTAAATGTGGGGGGGGTCCAAACGAATAATTATGAAATTATGAAATGTGCGGGGGACACGTCCCCCTCAGACTTAATGGCGGCCACGCCCATGGCTGTGGGAGAGATCCTGTTCTCGTTTGCAAAAGAAATTTCACGTCTGCCTGTTGCTGTGATGGTGGGGGCGGGGCTTTCGTCAAACCCTTCCCAAGGTAAGTAGGGAGGCGGGCCTTCAATGCAGGCTATAGACCATTCATCTCCATGTGTGCCGGTGCATTGAATTTGTCCTGCAGGAAAGTAAAAGTCCAGGCAGCGTCACAAGGGACATTCTTTGGATCTACTTGCTGGATTCCTTATAAGGAGACACCTCGATAAGCCAGGTGCTGGTCATTAAAAGAGGTCAGCCTGATTTCTCCATTTTTTTTCATTTGCTGAGTCGATTTGTGATTTGCAGGGTAGCGCACAGGCTTTTTTAAACAGCACTACTCTTTCAACTGAACTGAATTACCTTTTCCTTATGAGCAGAGTAGGCCGATTCTCTGTCAGCACTCCTTTGAGGTGTTTGACTTGCCTCTTGCTTTTATATGCTGTCACAGCCCGGTTGTAAAATCTCCATTCTCGCATTCTTCTGTTATGGTTTTTAAAATGAATCCACAGGAATAGACCTGTCCGAATGGGCAGGGGGACCCCTGCTGTGAGACTCCTCTGCCCCTGATCCATATGTGTAGTTCCTTGGTACTGTGTGTGGGAGATATTTGAGTTGTTGAGACTGTTTGCTGACTTGCCTTAGGATAGAAAGCTGAGGAATGCAGTCCCCTACCCTAAGGCCAAGTAGCAATGTAAGCAAAACTTGCTGTGTGGCCTCACTGGCCTGTTTTGTGACAGAGATAAAGTATGTTTCTGTAGCAGATTTGCTTGAAGGCGGCTTTCTCTTTTAACTGAACCACTGGCCATAAGGTCATCTCTGTTTATGGTTTTCAATGTGTCAAAAAATCCTAGTTATTGAAAATAAAAGTGTTTCTTGTTTGAAGGCTACTTCCTTAGTCTCTAATCTAGCCTGCTGTACTGAAGAATATGTTGCCATTATTAGTTTGACAGCATTATGGATGAGCTTCAGCTATTTAAGGATATTAAACATTTAACATTTTTCCTTAACAATTATCACTTTTCACGTCTAAGGCATTTCTTTGGAGATTTTATAAGTATGTCTTTACCTTGATGCCATTAATGGGACTAGCTAACAAACAACTTAGTTTAAGAAAATTCATTTTTGGCTTTTTTTCTGACAAAAATCAGGACCAGAACTTGGATAACTCGATATGAGACAAAAAAAAAGCTATAACCACTTGTTCTGGTAAAATATCCATCCATCCATCCACTATCTATACCGCTTTATCCATCTGGGTCACGGGGAAGCCGGAGCCAATCCCAGCATCATCGGGCAAGAGGCGGGGTATACCCTGGGCAGGCCGCCAGTCCACCACAGGGCCAACACAGACAAACAGCCACACACACTCGCATTCACACCTATGGGCAATTTAGAGTAGCCAGTTGACCTAATCTGCATGTCTTTGGACTGTGGGAGGAAGCCAGAGCAAACCCACGCATGCACGGGGAGAACATGCAAACTCCACACAAAAAGGCACCCTGGGTGACCCGAGGATCGAACCCAGGACCTTCTTGCTGTGAGGCGACAGTAGAGAGGTTACCTGGTACCTTGGGCGGAGCTTAAATGAGGGCTCCGTCTATGACATCATCACCAATGATTGACAGGGCCAATGTGAATAATAAAGTAATGCGCCCTAAGCATTTCGCCAACAAGAATCAAGGAATAACGCGGGTAATCCTTGTTAAAATGAGCGCAGGCACTCTCTACCAGGTAACCTCTCTGACAGTGCTGACCACTGTACCACCCTTCTGGTAAAATATTTAAATGTATTTTTTTTATTTATTTTTCTTACATTTAGCTTTACACCCTGCAGATATACTCAAGCAGAGTTTAGCGGGTAGCTTCTGCTAAATCATCTAGTAATATAAAGACTAGGCTATGTATCTTCCTAAATGTGGAACCATGGTATAGTATAGAGCAGCTGACCTGCAGTTAATGATGGCCGCCCACAGCACCGACCTGTCAACACACAGGAAGCAGGTCTTTTTGTCAAGTGGGCATCATCCTTTGTGGTATTTTACCCCTCCAGGGAGCTGAAAAATTGAAGCCTGTGGGATATTTTGCCAGCGATAAGACACCAAGCCCCGTGTCTCTCCTCAAAGCAGGTTGTGAGTTCTGACAGCAGTTTTCAAAAGATATCTTTATGGCTTCCTGTATACAATAGATGTTATTCAGAAAATTATACTCAAATAATGGACTGATCAGTCATCACTCAGTGCCTTCACACAGGTCCTATTAGAACTTGAATAATGCATTTCTGAGTAACCTTCACGGAGGATTTTTCTAATGAAAATGCTTTTTTACCCCTAGGATCCAGAGCAGGGAAACTGTTAGGATCTTAATACAGGGTTTCCCAACCTGCTCCTCAGGGACCTACAGACAGTTCACGTCTTTGCTCCCTCCCAACTCCTGGAGCAAAAACGTGGACTGTCTGCAGGTCCCTGAGGACCGGATTGGAAAACACTGTCTTAAGACATCAGGGGCTTAGAAACCTAATCTGTTCAAGGGCCATCATACTGATTTCTCTGTCTCTGAAGTTACAGTGATGGTAGCCAGGCTGCCCCCCCCCCCCCCAAACACAACAAAATAAACAAAGCCACACATATTCCACCTATACAACACACGATTCTTCTCAACCTGTTAATTTATTCAAAACACTACCGAAATACAGCCACAAAATTATTGAATACAATAAATAAGATGAAAAAAGAGCAAAATATGTTAAATAATAAAAAAAAAATACAAACATGAAAGCAGGGAAGCACCTGCAGCTCATCCTGCGGAGGCTCATATACCTATATACACTGGATACGGAGGCTCATATACCTATATACACTGGATACGGAGCCTCATATACCTATATACACTGGATACGGAGGCTCATATACCTATATACACTGGATACGGAGCCTCATATACCTATATACACTGGATACGGAGGCTCATATACCTATATACACTGGATACTGAAATGCCAAACTTCACAATACGGAGCAGCAGAAATACAATTTTGTCAGTTTATTTATATTCAAAACATTTCGGTAGCACATGGTATGTAGCTGATAACTAGCTAGCTAGTGTCTGTTTCACAAGAAAAGTAGTGAAATATAAAAATTTGAAAGAATCCAACTAACTGGCTAGAGTAACAAATCTCCTCTGTATTGTTTACTCTTTTTTTTCCCTCTTCTTGTCAGCATTTTCTTCCTTGCGCCGCAGAATCTTTTGACCATTTAATTTTCTTGCCAGGCTTTCCATTTCAGTGATTGAGGACTGATGCATCATCATGACATTTGACATGGTGGTTGTCCTGCCAATAGATGTCACAATTTCGATAATGTAAATAGCTGTAATGTCTCGGAATGCAAACACACTTATTTCTTATGATCTCAAGTTGGTTCATCATTAACGAATCGTGATACATCTTTTATCTCAAGTGGCAATTATATTTGTTCATGATTTGAATTGTACTTCAGCAGTAACTGAGTTATTGCTAAATATTTGTGCACCGTCAAGTGATTGCACATTATTATTATCGGGAACAGGACATGAACTACTACCAGGACCTAATGGTCAGTGTCATGACAGGAGCCACTTCTCTTTCCATCTGCTCTTTCAGCTCCAGACTGAGAACTACGGCTCCACGTGATCAGTCAAAGAGTGGTGGTAGATAGAAGGTATGGTTAGCTGAGTGTGCGAAACTGCACCAATTAAAAGAAAATGTAACTTATTTTATGCCACAAGATGATAATGAGTATACATTATGTGGACAAAAGTATTGGGACACCTGGCCATCACACCTACAGGAACTTTATTGACATCCCATTCAAAATCCATAGGGATCAATATGGAGTTGGTCCTCCCCTTGCAGCTATAACAGCTGCCACTTATGGGAAGGCTTTCCACAAGATTATGGAGTGTGTTTGTGGGAAAATTTGCCTCTTCATCTAGAAGAGCATTTGTGAGGTCAGGTACTTATGTTGGATATGAAGGCCGGGCTCGGAATCTCCATTCTAGTTCATCCCAGTGCTGTTTGATGGGGTGGAGGTCAGGGCTCTGTATGTCTTTATGGTCCTTGCTTTGTGCTCTGGGGCACAGTCATGCTGGAACAGAAAAGGGCCTTCCCCAGACTGTTCCCACAACATTGGAAGCATAGAATTGCCTAAAACAGTTGGGACAATGTAGTCAGGCAGGTAACATTCTTCTGGCAAACTCAGACTCATCTATTAGACTGCCAGACAGAGAAGCGTGATTCATCACTCCACAGAATGTTTCCTCTGCTTCAGAGTCCAGAGGCAGTGTGCATTACAGCACTCCATCCTATGGCTAGCATTGCCCTTGGTGATGTGAGGCTTGCATGCAGCTGCTTGCCCATGGAAGCCCATTCCATGAAGCTTCCAGCGCATAGTTTTTGTGCTACGGTCTTCAGTAATGTACAACGGCATATTAGGGCTATTGTATATAAAAAAATAATAAAACATGGTTGGGGAGGGGGGTAAAATTACGAGAAAAAATTCTGAAATTCTTAGATTAATGTCATATATTTGCGTGAAAAAACTCGGATATTCTCTGATATTGTAAAGTCATAAATTTGCGACAATAAAGTCCAAATTTTCGAGATTAAGGACGTAAACTTACGAGAAAAAAATCGGATATTCTCTGATATTGTAAAATTATAAATTTGCGAGAAAGAAAACACTGAAATCCTCTGAGATGTATATAGTAAATTTACGAGAAGCAAAAGTCGTATATTTAAAGTGTCAAATATACGGAAAAAACCACAAATTTACGAGGAAAAAAGTCAGATTCTTTGAGATCATAA